AACATGTTAATTTTGTGTGTTAATCAGTCGCTCCAGGCTGGATGAAAGGATTTGCTCTGTAAAACTGTTTGATATTGAAACAGGTCCTTTTGACCCTATCAAAATTGCCTTTATTCCCCTAAAGACGGGTAAAGTTAATTAAGCACTCAATAGGTTTATAGTGTTTAAATTAAAATATATTACCCTCATTGTGTAGTCATCAAATTAAAGTATTCTCCTCCTGGCTGCATGACTGTCTAATGTGCTTATCAAAATTCATGATGCTATAAGTGGGATTTGTTGTGTTGAACAGGGTCTGTAATGAGTCAGTCAAACAATAGTTGATGCTGGGATCTGCCACAAGATGGTGACAAATTCCATTGATTACAACTTGAATCTCTCAGACGAGGACGATTTGTCCCTCGTCCTCTCCTCTTGGCTGGTTGTCAGACTCCGCCATTGTGAAGCTCTCCGGGACACTACCCCGCATGAAGGGCGCTGTATAAATGCAAGGTGGTGGTGTTGTGATAAGGCACTAGCATCAAGTGCAAGGATTATTGTTATTCGTGCCCTTTCACATTCTCAAGAGTAAATTCAGAAGTTCAGAGTATGGAAGTTACCGTCACAAATCTTATCTCAAAAGTTATGTTGTCCTCTCCCCCTCCTTCTTTCGAGATGAAGCTTTGGACTAGGTAGTGTCATCAGTTAAGAAGATTCAGGCCATGATGCCATTCAACAATAAGAGTCCATTGAGGGGAATGAATTGAGTCTTTGTTGGTTTTTATTGAGGCCTGACCATAGTCAGTACAAAGCTGTGTGTGTCTTTCTGTCTATCGTTGTCTGTAGTTTCAAAGAACTGAAGCATCAAGTAAATAACTCTTGCTAATGTAAAGTAGTCACCCTATTTCCCAGTGCCCGGCAATCTCAAAGATAGTCTATATAAAATAACACTGGGGCGTCTGCAGATCTGGTGAAAACTGAAATGCATCAGCCCAGGAGGTTGGGCAATTCTTGTACTGAGTGAGCAAATTAGAGAATAATAACAGAGACCAAGAGAGATACTGAAGGGAAATATTTCTTTCAAGGGAGACTTTCTCACTCTGTGAGAGTGAAAAAANGAACAGAAAACTTGTATTATGTGAACTACTGTCTGTATTTCTTAGCGAGAGGATTGCGCTGCCTATGTAGTGTAGTGAATCTTTCGATACAAGCTTATAATGAAATATTGCATTGGATCAGAACCATAGACATTCGTAGGACCACAGAAATTTACAACACAAAGGAAGGCCATTTGGCCCATTGCTTCAAAGGTTTGCTGTGGTCAGTGAACGGAGAAGAGGCATTGAGAGGTGGATGTGCTACTTCTTCATGCATAGCTTATGTCTGTGACTTGAAAGTGTGTGTGTAATGTACATTGTACTTAAAAAGAAGGCCACATTGCTCAAGGCATGACACTAACTTGGTCAACACCTTGAAAGATGTTAACACTGTACTCTTATCATTTGTTGCACAACATGATTTCAGGCTTATTTCGGGTATTGCCAGATTTGCCAGCAAAAAGACTCATTTCTAATCGAAGACTAAAAAATGACGACTCCGTTCTACATATTATACTGAAACATGACTTGCTTTTATGCACACCGGGCTTACTTTTGTTTCAATCAGATATTTTGGGATGCACACCGCTTGAAACAACTTCGCGCAAAGTTCTCCCTCTGAGCAGCTTTTAAAATAAAACTGCAATCCTCGGATGTTCCAACGTTACAGCAAAAACAACTGTTTTTTTTTCATTCAGTCACTACCGAGTGACATCTGCCCCGGGGCTCACTGTCGTCTTCAATCATGTAAATGGCATTATTTACTTTAAATCTGCTTTTGCCTTTTTTTCAGTCAGATACCAATAGCTCGGAACGAAAGAGTGTTGCTCGTTCCAGAGCCGAAAGACTTTGTAGCAAGTAAAATCTTGCTTTGTAACACTCGACTATGCGTGACAAGCAAAACAGTGTGCAGGGGAGCGGCGGACGAGCTGGATCTGCAACTTTGAAAGTAACAGAGTTCCAAACAGCCACAAACTGCATCTAAAATGGGGGCGGAGGGAGTTCAGTTCAGTTCTAGGTTTTCATTAATAATAATAATAATCCTCGCATTTGATATAGCGCTTTTCACGTCGGGAGGACGTCCCAAAGCGCTTCACAGAACACACTGTAAAGTGAATTGACTGTATATTTGTGGGCGAACGCGGCAGCCAATTGCGCACAGCAATGTCCCACAAACAGTCGTGGATTGAAAATGACCAATATATATTGTTTTTGGTTTTCGACGGATTATTATTCATTCTCTCTCATACATATATATTTCGCCCGCAAAATATACAGTCCATTCACTTTGCAGTATATTTCCGGGAAGCGCTTTTAATTGTCTCAACAACATAAGGTGCTGTATCAATTGCAAAGATTATTGTTATTATATTGGACCCGTAACAAGCCAAAACGGAAGCAGCATTATGGAAAGGGAGTGTTTTCTGTGAGTTCATTATTATTGAAGGAAAGCATTGATAAACTGCTTCTATCAGGGCATTACAGGGGGAGAGGGCACTAAATGGATTGCAAGTTGTGCCACATAAACTAGAAGATAAATACTGAAGCTTTAATTACCAGTCGGGGCGGTTTTGGTGGCATTCCACATTCTGTTTCAGTCGGCCTTATTGTGAAGTGCATTAGGACATGTAAAGTGTACCTGTTCCTGTTATCACAGGGACAAATGTTGGATTGCGCTGTGTTTTTAGTCAGTAATTGACAGAGCATCATAGCCAATTGTGTGTCCTGATTTTCCCAGGGGATCGGAACATGTAGGCATAATTTCTTCCAGACACAAGTGCCACTGTAAGGACTCCTGATGTAATTTGCTGATATGATATTAAAAAATAGCATTAAAGTAATTAGATTGAGCACGGAGTCATATTTCACTGAGAGGAGCTCGTCCGTGGCTTGCGCTTACGATAACCTGGTCACTTTTAACGGCTCGGAGAAAGCAGGCTAGCATAATAGGTTAATGTATTATATGTTCAGTTCATGTCATTAGGTAGAGCTTTTGCTGAGGCTGCCAGATTGACGCTGCGAATAAGAGGACGGGAGGCATTGGGCGTTAACCCATCACATTCTAAGTACCTTCAGCACAACGTCTGCAGGTTAGGGTTTAATGTTGAGGTGGGTGGGCAGCGGGAAAGAAGCTATCTCCATAAAAACAATAATAATAATAATCCTTGCATTTTGATATAGCTCCTTATAACGTCTTCTAGACGTCTCGAAGCGCTTCAGAGACTATCCTCTACAGTGAATTGACTGTATATTTTATGAGCGAAATACCAGCAATAACTGTTAAAGTCCACCTGGTCAGTGACATTTTCCCAAAATACAAAAGGCAATAAATGAAACTGCAGGAGGTGAATGGACAGAGGGATCTCAATGGTCTTTTCCAGTCTTGGGATCGCATCCCCTGTGCCATCCCTTTGGGGGTAATTTATAGCTCCCTCTTCTTCCCTCCCCCCTCCCCCCCCACACACACACACCGACACTGATCCTGGAAACTTCTCTTTATCTGAAATTTTTGATGTAACGCCCTGTCATGATGTTGAGACGTCTCAAAACGCTTCACAGAATATACTATAAGTGAATCGATTGTTGTTAAATCACTCAAACTAGAAAAAAATACCAACTTCAATAAATCCTGACGTTGTCTTGCGAGCAGTTTGGCTGTGCTTTCTCGCTGTGAATATGATCCGATTTGATGGCAAAGCTCTGAGCGTGTTTATTCCAAAAGAATTAATACACAAGAACTGAAACTCATGCAGATAATATGGCTTTGATGTGCTGCGTTTTATTTTCAGAGATGGTCGTGCTCTGTTGACCTCCGTGCCTCTGACCAAGCCTGCATTGGCCACAATATTCATCTGATAACGACAAAGTTCCAGTGGCTCTCGTTACATCAAAACTGGGCAAGAATTCATTTGCAAATGATTTAATTCCATCATAAAACTGCACAGTAAAACTGCCTCTCATGTCAGCCGTTACAGTCCTTTCTTATAATGCGAGTGTATCTCACTGGAAAGGCCAAGGTTGGTTTCAGCGTGCAATCAGATTTTGGCAGTCACATGCCTATTATTGCTAAATAGCCTGAATGTGGACGGGCAATTACATTCACTTAGTCTCAGTGCTTCAATTTGAACTACATCATAACCTGTGACAATGCTTTTTTTTAAAAAAAAACTGAAAACGAGCATAAGACCACATATATCATCGTTCACATCTCAGTGAAAGTATTTATGCCATTGCCCACTGTTACTGTGCTGATGTTCATGCCCCCCAGTGCCATGTTCTGTCATTCAATTATACTATGATGCAGTTTCCCAAAGGGGGTTCTGACTAATAATCCTTCTCAGTTGTACCGCATGACTTGTTGTATTATTCTGCCCTCAAGAAATGAGAATCTCCAGTGTTGCTTGTTTGCCTGACTGGCAACGTGGTTTTATTTAATGGTCGAAACGTTAGGTTTGGAAATGAATGTGTCCAGTGAGGAGCCGTGACAAGGCATCACACCGCTCAGTGTATTTGGGTCCACTGCAAAGTGCCAATCTAATTACGTGAGGAAATTCTAGATTTAACCGTGCAACCCTCAGCAAACTGTGCTAATAGATTTCGGGACATTGGGGACAAAAATTGGCACCTACAGAATGCACAGTTGCTACACTTTACGCTATATCCTGTTTTTTGAGACATCTTCCCGACATGTAAGGTGCTTTATCAGATGCAAAGATTATTTAATTGTGTTTCCCTTATTTTTAAACCTTGACGTTCTCACTGATTTTGCAATCTGCATTCGGCTGTCGGTTTTCTACGGCTTCACCAGCCGTCCGTGAACTAAATCTCGTCTGGCACACCGATAACACATGTGAAGGGAATAGTAAATGCAAGTTGTTGTTGGTGAACGTGGCTTACGTGTTACACTTTTCTTTGGGGGTCTAGGTACTGTGAATTAAACATCAACAGCCTGAATTCTTCAATGATCGGATACATAGTGGCTAATCAGTGTTCGTTCTACAGACCAGTGGGGTATCCACAGATCCCACTTGCGGGGATGGCTATTGAAAGCATAGGATGCTCCAGTGTGACCTACAGACAGGCTCTGTTCAATCCTCTACCAAGCAGAAGAGCGTTGCCGTTGGATTACGATGTGCTATGCGATGGCTGTTTCCCCAGCAGTCCGCTGCTGTCTGGCTTCGAATCCACAGCTTCTACGACCGGGAAGTCCACCCACGTCTTTGTGGACACGGCTACCAAGAGACCGACAGAAATACCCACGGTTTTCAGGAAGTGCCTCGAGAAGATCCTGATTCAACCACGGACTATCCATTCGGGTTAGAAAACCTGTTCTTGTTCCAACGTTTTAAGGGGGACCCGGGGAGTGTTCTCACTCCTTAATGGGAATTAATATTTGTGATTTTTTTTGTGACTTAATTGAAATCTGGATAACAATAGATGTTTTTTAAAAATAATAACATTCAGTGAATCTATAGAACTCCTGCTCAAAGGAGAATATTCTCCGACAAATAATGCTTCAAAATGTAGTCGCTTTTCACAGTTAAGGGTGCTTTCCAATTACTAAGGATGTAGGTACATGACTGAGAATTGCTTGTGACCAGTGATTGACTAGATCGTAATAGGAATGTTTATGCTAAATAGCGTCAATTCAATATATTAGTGCAAATTGCTCTCAGATTAAACTCCTCCACCTTTCTTGACACTTATGATCTCGCTGCACAGATTGGGATGTGCGTGGTGGTCCAGATCATCTAATTCTCTGCTTGAGGAAAGTGGCAGTCTGTGAAATGGTAAAAACATGAGAGTAATGGCCTTACACTGCCCATCCCTCCTCCCCACCCAAATAAACTGCACCATAATTGTCGAACCTTTCTACAGGTCTGATTTCTGCCTTTAAATATCCTTTGGGGATTTTTATTAATGCTGCTTTTTAACTTTTTTTATCTTCAGGTAAATGGCAACTGGGTGATGTGTGAGTACAGTGAAAATTGAAAATGAATTATGAATGGGTCTCGAGTTGATATAGAGAGTCTGAGTCGGTTGCTCCTGTTTGCTGATGAATTCTAAGTCGTGAGGATGTTTTTTAGAATCAAATTATATTGCAGTGACTTGCATATTTCAGATTTGCATAGTAGCACAGACAATGCTGGGATAAGACACTTCCCTTGGTTTAATTATACACATGTCAAAAATACACTATTTCAAAGTTATGATTATATATAAAAAATTATACATTAACCTAATTAACCGCTTCTTTTATTGATGGGGGAAGAGAAAAAAACACTTTGTTTTCTCGCAGTAATGATCAATTGTAGTAGTTCAGGAATAGGAGGCACCTGAAAGTTTGTATAATGGAGCAAGAGACAGATGGTGACTACACTTTGATATGGTTTTCACCCAGCCTTGTCAAACCATCATCCAAATAAATATGATATATGTGAACACAATCTCAAGTAATTCTGTTATTATAGTGAAGGTCAGTTTGCTTATTTCAGGCGAAATGAAACTGCACAAACACTCTTTGTAAATAGATAACATCTCGATTATTACATGGAAGGCAGCTGCACTGAAATAATCCTTGGAAACAAGATAACTTGCCGTAACCCAGCAATATCTTATGTTGTTATATTATAGACTCTAAATACTATTTAGTACGAATATCTTTCAACCGTAAGGCTGACACTTTTAGGAGCATGAAAAGGATTTGGAAACAAACTAACAAGTTTTTGTAAACATTTTTTCCTTTGTTCGATAAAAAGTATTCAAGGGAATCTCAAAGAGATATATTTCTAAACGAAACAGAGAATAGTGTGGCTTTTTCCGAGCTTTGGGAACGCAGTTATCTCTTACAGACCCTTTGCGTGTGCGACTCAGGCTGACTGTTCTAAGGAAAACAGTCAAGTAATAAGTGCCGTGGCTCAGATCGTCAGGAGATGCTTCCAGAGTCATGTAACTGGGAAATCAACGAAGCATTCCATTTGTTCCACACACACGTTCAACCTTCCAGTACCAAATGGTAAGAGCGCAGTGGATGGATGGATGGTTTTGGCGCTATTTGAAAAGACAGATTGCAGCGAAATTGAAGACAAGGAACATTAAAATCAAACTACATTTGTCTCTCGCACCCTGCATTCACTAAGATGGGTCCATATGGAGCTCATTTTGGAACAAGGCCAGACAAGACAACTCTTGGCTGCCCCAGTGTGGGAGACCTTGCTGACGTTTCATTTATAAAGCAGACTATATGCCACATGTCCTACGTGGGCGGGCAGTTGGTGGGGGAGGGGGTGGAAAGAGACCCCAAATTTGTTCAACCTACAGTCTACAGGTCAAGTGTAAGTACGGATTTGTACAGTTTTGGCTTTTTTTTTAAAAACACACACACGCGCACACACACACACTACATATGTAGATCAACACTGCCTTGCAATTGGTGCAAAGGTATTAACGGGCACAGTGGCCCCATTAGTTAATGAGGTAAAGTACGTATTGAATTAGGAGGACGAAACTGGCCCAACTTCAGTCACTTTACAACGCGGCAAAAAAATACTGCAGTCCGATTTCGAAAGCCCTCTTGGCTCCTTTTAGCATCGACGTGAATTTGATTTTTGAAAAAAATGTTTGTTCGGGAAAACCCCCAAATCCCTGCAAAATCCCTTTTCTCTTTTTTCTTCTCAGTATCATAACTCGTCGTGGTCCCGTGTGAGATCCTCACCGTAGTTGGTGGCCTGGCTGCCCACAAACATGTTCCAGTTATCTAAGATTTCTTGTTTTGATAACTTCTGGTCCTGTTTTGAAACAAAAAATTTTTTTAAAAAAAATTAAACACAAAAGGAATTTCACTTTGCCAAATCTCCGCCCTGCGTCTCAAGGGTTTAGCTTTAATTCACGCTCCTAAGCCAGTGACACAAACTTTTTCCTGACAATCCAACACTGTTACTTAGAATAGAAGTACACCAGCCCTTGAGTGCTTAATGAGTTTTGATCGAGTGCAATGCTGGTCAACCCATATCAAGAAGTGGCCTGCCAAACATTTGCACTAGTCTCGGTAAGTCTGTGTGTATTAAATCAATATTTTGTTTCCAGCAGCTACTGTGTAGCAATATTTATGGCATGACTATCAATCAAGAAACATTCAATCAAGAAAATTCTTATTGGGTTACCCCACCAAAAAGATTGGTCACCATTGATTTTGTGTGTGCAAAACCCTTAGCTGCGCATCCAGCGCCTTGGGATGTCCTTCCGACGTGAAGGCGCAATATAAATGTAATTTGTTATTGCGTAGCTGAGCTGTTAGGGTGAAGAGGTTCTGGGTTTGCTGCCTGGTTTGTAGTGAGGTAGGCAATCTCCTTGTACGACAGAGATCTTGGGTGCATGGAGCATGGGTGAAGGAACCCGGGTGTCGGACTCACTGGTGTGATACGTTTGCGAATCCAGTTGTGCTTAAGCTATTTTATAATTTGGGGGTTGCTGTAGTCGGCAACTGTAAACAGCTGGAGCTTTGCTCACACGGTTTAATCACCAGTCTGGCACATCCAGTTATCCTTCTACTCTCATGTAGCTCAACATGATGTCCCTGCTCATATTTAAAGGCATCACCTTATCTTTGTCCGACTCGTACACCAGGTGTCTGGCTTCAGCCTGTGCGTGGTCGTAATCTTGCGGGAGGATCCAATGCCGGATTTCAGCTTTATCCATCTTCCCGTCCTTATTTAAGTCTCGAAAATCGGAAAACTGCTCACGTTCAGTCTGAACCCAGTCAGGTTCTGCCACACCTTCCACGTGGGCGAACATATCAGCTGGAACAAAGAAAAAAAAGTATTGATCGTAAACTTCCATTCAATATTAATAACCCTTGCATTTTATACAGCATCTTATCACGTCTTTTAGATGTCTCAAAGCGATTCACAGGCTATACTGTAAAGTGGAGTGATTGCGTCTTTTGTGGGTGAAACGCAGAAGCCAATTGCACACATCGGTGCCCCACAAACAGTCGTGAATGTTAACACAACATGAACAAACTATTGTGTGGTTAAGGTCTGGTCACCTGAATGCACTAGACTTCATGGTTGAGCTTTATTTTGCCTTTTCTTTGCTTTCCTCTCCTGAAATGCGCTGATTCTTTCTGGGATACAATTCAGTGGGCAACAGCTGTCTCACATATGTAGTCATATGTGAGCCCAGGCAGTGACTGTTGACAGGTTATTTGATCATGGGGAATAGCTTGATACAATATTCACTTGACAGTCACACGCATGCACACACATTTTCCATCAGGAAGCACTGGATAGCGATCGGAAGTGGGATCCCTTCCTGATATTTTCCTTACCTCATCCAAGGGCCCAACACATGGAAATTTCCCTGTGTCTGGAATAGAATGCGCACTCTCTCCTGGTTTACTTAATTCTGGAGAGTAATAGTATTAGACGCAGTTTGGCCAGAGCCAAGTACGGGGAATCTAAGTCAAGGAGACCATGCACCTACATAGAACTCACTTGTGCTCCGCATAGTGGTAATACTAGTTTATTGAGTAATTCTTAACCTGTACATAACAGAATTATTCCACCTCCTTCTGCGGGAGCTTTTTTTTAAACCAAGACGTACCTTGATTTTTTTTAACTTGTTTGGTTAAAAGTCCAACAGCTTCAACGACAAATTACTTAAGCTGAGGCTTTGAATCGAGCAGGTTCAATTTGCTGCTGTATGCTTAATACATTCTGTAAATGCGCTTTGTGTGGAAGCAGTTATACAAAGGAACAAGTCACCACTGTTCACATATCAGCACATGTCGACAAGTACTTGGTAATTACAGGTAGGTAATGTCATTGAATGGGATTTAATTACTGTGAAATTGTACTTGCCCATTGTGTTAGTCATACATAGAGAGCATTTAAGAACTTGGGTCTATTTAGTCAGGCCATTTAAATTGTGCATAAAGCTCTACAATTAAGGGGAGAATTGCTGTAAGTGCTCATTGTTATTGAGAGATGCTCTTAGTCAACTACGAGGTGGAATTGCTAAACTATGTGTAATTCAATGATTCTTTGGCTCTATCTAGATTTTATACATACAACTGCAAAGATACCTATTGAGCATAACAGCAAATGGGTTGGGGGGGGTGGGGGGGTTCCTAATGTCACAACCAGAACTGTAATTGGACGTGATCTCGTGCTTCTGCAGTCACCGCAAACGTGAGCAGAAAGTCAAAACTCCGGCCTGGAAGTGGCTGACTTTTGGGTCATCAGGTCATTGTCACAGGGAGAGATGTCAATGGTGACCTGATGACCTGCAACTCAAGCATTTTGACTTCTCTGTACGGGCTAAGTGCAAAAAGAGCCGGTGAGGGCATTTCAGAATTTTGGGGGGGTGGGGGGGGGAGTAAAAGTCAGGGCCAAGGTTGACTCGTTTAGCTGGGCTTTGTGTTCATGCAAGTCCACAGGATACCTGAGCTATGAGTGAAAACACCTTGTAATGAAGCGCTTTATATTGGAGGTTGTAGTCTGCTCAAGCGCTCCCCTTATACATGAGTAGGCAGAGGGTAATGTACATTATGCAGGAGAACCCTAATATAGTGACCTCTGGGTGTAGGATATACTGTAAAGTGGATTGACTGTGTAGATAATTACTTGTTATCCAGGGCCGTTACAAGTTACAGGGCTATGGGGAGAGCGCAGGGAAATGGGATTGATCTGGAAAAGCACTTTTCAAAGAGCTAGCACAGACGCGATGGGCTGAATGTCCTCCTTCTGTGCTGCATACTTCTACAATTCTATGATTTTGTGGGCAAGATGTGCAGGAAGCCATACTTAAGTTCACTGTATGAAGCTTTGACCAACTCTCCAGCCTTACACAACTTCCCACTGGTGTGATTCTTCAAATGCTAACACAATATTTGTTTTAATGGCTGCACGAGAGCAATTTTTCTTTTCTTATTGCTCTCTCGAAATGTTCCTTGGTCAGAAAGGGCAGGGCAGCAGCTGTGAACACTCCCTAAATTTACAGTAACTCCCCCCCCACCCCCCCCTAACCTCCCACGGAGAAAAGCCGAGACTGACAAAAGTGTGCCCTGCAGGAGTAACCCGAGTGTCATCAAACCCAGAGTCTGAACCCTGGGGCTTTGCTAGGAAGGAATCCCAACACCCAGCAAGGCAGCTCCGAGCAGCTTGAGAGATAACCCATCAAAAAGACTCACTCGATTCTTTTTTAAAAAAAAGACACAGATGGTCAAGTTACAAATAAGGTGATAAAGAAATAAAATCCTTCTCTCCAGATTGACATTGCGCCAAAAAACAATCCAAGAGCCAATCTTATTGCACAAAGCTTCGGCTCAAAGGAAAGGCAGTTTCAAACATTGGAGGGTTGAAAAGCTTCCCCCCTTCTTGAAAAACAGGCACAGCAAGTTGCACTGGCTAGAAAACAGCCTGTAATTTAACAAGATTTCTTGTAAAACAAAACGGTCTTCCAGCAATATTTCCCCCATTACTGCAGAAGCCATCGCATCTGTGCTTGTAAGCCTTAAATGGCTTTGCGAAAGAATATCATCTGATTTCAAGTGAAGCTCTCAGGTGGTATGAATAGGTCAAAGCGAGTGATTAAAATCAGTGTTCCTTACCAATGTACTCATCCTCATCAATGAATCCGTTTCCATCCTTATCAATGTCTTCCAGCGTTTCCTAGGAGGGGGAGGAAAGAAGTTAGATGAGCTATGTTGCAGTTCTGATCCTATTCTTGAAGCTTCTTCATTTCAGTTAGTTACAGATTAGATTGTTCAGAACATGCTGCCTGCTTTTTTTTCATGACGATTCTTCAAAGCTCTTCCTACCCTGCAATTAGAACGCATTCTCCCAGTGTTTGCTAGCTGTCTGGGTGCCCAGTGGGCTGAGAGCGCTGGTTATCAGCATTGATTGAGGATTTGAGGAGGGATTTTCATACAGGCAAAGGTCACTCAAGCAACGACGTAACTAATCACGACTGTCGGCTGGCTGTACTTTACCCACAATAATCCGATAACCTCTTCAAATAAGAATGCAACCACTAGCTCGCGAACAAGCAAATGTATTTGTGTGCTTCGCAGAGTGTTGATACAGAGCAACAGCATGATAAAGCGGTGGTTCTGGGTCTATTCGCTCTCAGACCCCTGAGTTGAAACAAAGGTCGAAAAATGGCTGATTTCTCGATCATCAGGATCACTGCTGATGCCACTTCCTGCATACTGTACATGTGCAGGAAAGGCCGCTGATGTCACTACCATTAGCAAGCGTGCCCAGTGCACAGGAAATAACATCAGTGGTGAAGGGTGCTATACAAATGCAAGTTGTTGTTGGTGGTGATTTCAGCAGGACTTTCTGGCTTATTCCTCCCATCACCCACCACTACTGGAGTCGTTGTCTGATTCCACTCAACCACGTGCTTCTGAGCTGGTGAACTGGGCTTTTTTTACCGAAAATGAGATGGGCGTAAAATTCCACATTAATTGGAATTCCCATCATTTCATACCTGGTCACACCCCACAGTTCATCTTACACACAAAGAGACGCGATGGTCCGTTTCCAATGCAGTTTAAAACAACCCGCCATGTCATATGACCTGACCTATAAAAACTAGCACAGCACTGAACTTTAAAGGGAGTTTGTATTGCTTTCGCTTGATTTTAAATATCAAGTATTTAACTCTTTGACTGCTAGTAAGTCCAGAGAAACTCCAGTCTCCCTGTGCCAACCAGCTCAAGCACTGTGACACTGAAAACTTACAGTAACAGTGCAGTATTAAACAAAACTCTGTAAACCTCAGGAATAGGTTCATCACTACAATAGCAACTTGTCCCTTTCCTTCTCGGACAAGGGGTTGTCTTCTTTTACCCCTTGGAGCTAAGCTTGGCTCCTGGGTGATGTATTTGGCAACAGAATGTCCGAATTGAGCCAGCCGTCTGTGGCTGTCTCGGTAGTCTGGTTCCTGAGCCAGGCGGATCCGCAGTACTCCAAGGCACTGCCGATAACAAACCAGCCGGCTTGTTATCTCACAGCAGTGATTCTTCCCACTCAGCTCCTGCTAACCCTGCAAGTCAAAGACCTAACGGGTAGGGCGGTCGGTCCTTGTGGACAAGCAGCGGGAAGCATCCCTGACAATGCTCTCGATGGTAAGCTGTGTGGTCTTAGCTGGTTAAATTCCAGCAGTTACCCCAACAGACGATCTGGGGTCCACAAGGCTTGTCAACCTGCACCTAATACAGTCCAAAATTAGGTAAACAGGGTGCATCCCCCCAGTGAGCATTTAATTCCAGACTTAGGGTAATTGCTATGTGTGGAGATGTGCATATGAGAAACACTCATTTTAAGCAAGGTGATGGGTTTCTTTATGTGTCCACTATTCCAGTACACTGAGACACTACGTACAGTGTTTTTATGCAATGGTTTTTCACAAAGGTTATCAAACGTACAGCAAAATAATACAGCTTGACAGATTGCAGTAAATAAAATAAAGTTCCATCTGATGGTAAATAAGGACGGTGTTTGATGAGATCTGATGTGTACAGACATCTGCTAAAGGTTAGTGGAACAGGAGCTTACTCAGGCAAGCAATGCTACACATACGGTTTGTGTAGAATGAAAGGCAATGAGCAAAGGTTACCATTCAGTGATGCCTTTTTAAGGGAGAGAGACTGACTTACAAGCAGTCTTGTAAGACTGCTTAAGCCAGAGGCACTGAAGTATTCAGAGGATGTGGGGAGGGTGAAGGGAGAGATCAAGGTGCAGAGATGACAGCAAGTTCAGGATGTTTAATTGCTGTCATTTGCCAGGCGAGGCCAACATTCAAATTGCGGTATGGCTGAGGTTTACTTACAAGGACGACAATTTCCTTCATGTGCTCAAACTCCTCAGGGTGAAGGAAGGCAGTGAACTCTTCCCTGGTGGCCACCAGATCACCATCGATATCCGCCGATTTGAATCTGCGTTCGTCTCGGTGCAGCATCTTCTTAAAGCTGAGCTGATCAGCGATGTCCTGGAACTCTTCAGGGTTTTCTGCGTTTCACAAGAGTCAAGACCGTCAGTTTAATGAAGCGAGGCCAATTACTGAGTGCCCGAAGACACTATCGTCCATTTGAGATTTCCGTTCTCACATCTTGTGCGCAATTATAGTCGAGACTCTGTCTGGCTTTTGGTCTTGATTGAAGTCCACCTGCAACTACTTTGTACCCTTAGCAGTATTTGCAAAGAGACCTACGTCATTTCCTCAGGCTGGTGTGGATGTTGTTTTGAGCCCGTGTCTCGGGATGTGAAAGGAGAATTTTCCTATGCACAGAGGCCAATGTTTCTTAGTGAAATGAATGTTTATCTATAGCATCATTCAGCTTCCTACTTCTCACACTATCCTCCCACCTACAGATTAGCTTTGTCCATATCACTTCTTGTCTACCTGTAATATTTAATAACAGTTCCTCCTGAATGCTTTTTATGTGGGTAAGTGACCTAAATTTGTGCCTTTCTTTTGTAAAGAAGTGTCTTTGTTTGGAAGTACAATTACACATTAATTATTGAGGTGTAAATCTATGCGCGTATGGGTGTGATGGTGAACATCACAAGACTGAGAAATCCCTGTCACTCAGTGACAATAATAATCCTTCCATTTGATACAGTGGCTGTAACACAGAACCGTATCAAGCCCGAGTTAGCCGAACTAACATTCTCTAAGGATAATCTTTATTTGGTAGATATCTGGAGCATTATTACACCAGCATAGATTTGGATTTTTAAAATGAAAAGTCGCTAAGTTTTTTTTTAAAAAAAAGTTTGGTAACATTACTGCAGTTTAAGTGACTGCTATGTGGTCAGTTACTGCCCAGGAGTCTGTATTCGCTAAAAGCTCTTCAAATTCCCAGGTGGCCTTCGGTGGTTTGGACACAGATGGAGCACTTACTTGCAACAGGAAACACGAGTGGATCAATGGGAAACCACTCCTCAGGTTTGGTGAATGAGGCATTTCAGTGCCCACACTTCAGTCATTCAGATGCACAAACATTGAGTAGGTTCCAGCACAACCACATCCAAAAAAGGCATTGACTGCGTTGAGATGAGCATGTGGTTGTTTGCTCATCACCTTATTCACATTACAGACCAGAGACACATTGAAGGCCGTGCTTTCAGCCACTACCCTCTGGAACGCCCTCCCTCAATCCCTCAGCCTTGTACCCTCCTTCTCCATTTTCAGACCTTAAGACCTTCCTCTTTGACCGTGCCTATGGTCGCCTCTCCCTCCCCCAGCTCAGCATCAGGCTTTGCCACTGTTAAGCGCTCCAACACACTACCCTGCGTGAAGGGCGCATATAAATGCAAGCTGTTGCTGGTGAGACATTCACCTAGTCCAATAAAAGCCACTGTTCACACATCTTAAGGGACAGTATGTTGTTCACATTTTCTAATCAAAAGGACATTTGCAACAAAGATCTTACTCCCAATTCCAGGCATGGATAATGCAACACTACTGAGAATCCTAGGTTGTGGGTAAACCCAGACTTTTCAGGCCTGCGTGTACTGTTGGCTTTGATAACAGCAAATACAGTGACAAAGCATTGCAATTCTTTATGAAGCATAACCAATCAGCTACGCCTGCATTGCGCCTTATACTCAATAAATGGTATTAGGTTGACCATACGATGCCAAGGGTGTCCCATCGAGGTAGAGAACGTCGGGAGGATGTCTCAAGGTGCTGGACCTGAATTCTGGCAGCAATCTCTTCTGCCTGTAAGATTGTGAACTTCTGCTTATCTGTGAGTTTGTCTCCAGGTTCCAAGCCAGCTAATCAAATCCAAAGGGGACATCCAAAAAGCGAAGCTTTTACAAGGTACCAATATGCCAGATTTCAATGGGAAATAAGGCTGATGGCCGGCTGATAAGATGGGGAGTTGGGTGGGGTTGAGTCTCTCTGGGCTGTGCTTGCAAAACTCTTTGTTGATCGCTTATACAGCAGCACTGACAAAGGCCTTAGGAATAGCTGAGGGAGTGGGGGGGGAAGGCAGGTGGCCGAAAGCGCGGTCGGAAAGATAGATCTTAAGGAGCGCTTTGAAAGTTGAGCAGATTAACACGGAGAGAACATCATGTGGTTTTAGCCTTACCCAAGTAATATCCGTAGGTCGCTTGCTTGTATTCGTCCCAGGCTATTTTATTGTCCTTGTTGAGGTCGTAATCCCTCCACACTTTTGCGACGTTTTCATAAATATAACGTTTCTGCACCCGTTTAATCCAGGCTTTGAGTTCCTCGGTGGTAACAAACTGATCCTTGTTGTCATCTATCCGGTCTACGATTTTTCTATTTAAAAAAAAGCATATATACATTACACATAAATAGATAGATATATGTACACATGTAAACAAATTCAGAGAAAGAAAATGCCCTCGTGGCAAACCATCCTCGTGTCACTATTAGTGGCCGAGCTTTCAGCAACTACTCTCTGACATCCGGAACTCCCTTGCTCTACCCCTGTGTTTTGCCCTCTCTCGCGCTCTCTATCTGTCTGTCTTTAAAATGCCACCTAGAAAGCTGTGTCGTTGATCGCGCCTATGGTTACCTCCCTCTATTCCCTCGCTTGGTGTCTAACCCTGCCATTGTGCAGCGCTTTGAGATGCTATCCTGCGTGAAGGGTGCTGTATAAATTCGAACTGTTATTGTTGGGAGTAACACATGATATTTGGCTTCATCTACTAACAGGAACCATTCAAACCTAAAAATATTTTTGAACATGGCGCTGTTAATTCTGTAGCAGCTAGCAGATCTTCTTAATAGCGAGGCTATAGATAGAATATAAGAAGATGAGTCTCAAGAGCTATTTGAAGAACTGGGGTATTACTGCATTCTAACACATACCTGACTGCAAACTTCTGTGTGCTAAACAATCAGAAAGCATTCAGATATATACCACAGGATTGCTTGTGTTGCAATAGTTTTATATCACTAACACCAGGTCCAAATATCACTGGTACTGGCCTGTGTTGCACAGATCAGCAGCACAGAGTTTAGAGCGGTTGATTGACTTTCAAGGGTATCACAAACCTACTTATAATCAGAAGAGCTTTCAGGTCTGTGGGTAGGAGAGGAGGGAAAGAGAGTGAGTCAAAATACTGTGCTATCAAAGATTAGAATATTGATTGCTGAGAGAAAGATCTTTCACCATGATAAAGCTGGATTTAACATCAACTTGCACTTATATAGCACTCTCCACGCAGGCTAGCATCTCGGAGCGCTCGAATAGATTCACCTTTAGTAGCTTTATTACATACTATTTCTTTAGAGTTTAAGCCCATGAAGTATCATTACATACAGTATCTTCACACAAATCATCTTTAGGTTACGCTCTGCTCTAGAAAAGGCCAAACTAGAGCTAGAAGTTAGCGCAACTTTGAACTGCGTTATCTGGTTTGTGCGTGATTGATTGACTAAGGCACCTACTTAATTGGAGAGATGTCTACTGCAAATCCGACGTGTACGGTTAGAAACTTCCTGGCCTACACTACAACAGTGGACGACAGATGCCTTAAACACAAACTCAGAAGGGAGTGAGGTACATACAGCTTCCCACACCAGGGGTGTCTGCCTGGGAAAGTAGAAAGAGATCTGTCCACCACACCAGGTGAATGATGCTGCCCAATATGATTAATGCACCACCAACCTACACATTCTGTCTCTGCTCATCTTCTTTCGTATTAAGCTGCTCGAACATACAATGTAGTGCCAATTCCGTGTGACCCCCATTGGAGTTAATGGCAGTTCAGTTATCTTACAGCTCCGGTATCCAGCGTCTAAAAGCAGCACTTTACAAGCACAGAAGCACTTTGTCTTTTAAAAATGTCTTGAATCATTATTCACAAAATGACTTTGTGTTGTGACAGTTGTTTGTTGGTCACCCCGACCTGTAGCCTTACACCTGTAACATTTATGTTTGATTATTATCATAATAATCCTCGCATTTGATATAGCGCCTTATCACGTCTTTGAGACGTCTCCAAGCGCTTCAAAGGATATACTGTAAAGTGAATTCACTGTATAGTTTGTGGGTGAAAAGTGGCACCCAATTGTGCAGAGGGGTGTCCCACATACAGTTGTAGATTGAGTGACCAAATTACTGTACTAACATAAAACTCCACTGCACTGGTGCAAGCTTCCCTCTCTCAGATCTGCTTGCGTAAATCTATATTTGCCTAAAAAAAATTATTGTATATGATAATTATTACCAAGATATTTTTATGAAGCATAAAAACTGCAAGTTCCTTCTTTCTTAAACACAATGCAGTTTATATTCATGTAAATATCTGGGAGAAGTTTTGATTAACACACCAGGTTTTGCAGTGTGATAGAGCCATGACTTGCCCAGCACGGCTAGTAGTGGGTGAAAGGAATTATCAAGTGGCAGATGACTCTGCTGGTAGCCCACTATGTGTGACACATATGATCGGAGGTGTCTTCATTAGGTGTCTCGTCTCTGAGTCAGGTTACGAGTTCAAGCCCTACTTTGAGATTCTGAGCTCATGTCGATGCAGATTCTCCAGCGCAATGCTGGTTGGTGTCCTATCTGTCTGCTCAGGAGGATGTTAAAGATCCCATGGCCCTACTCGAAAAGAGAACAGAATTTCTCCTGGTGTCCAGTCCAACAATGCCCCAGATAAAACTGATCATTCATTTAATCCATGGCTGTTTGTGGGACTGTGCTGTGTGCACAAATTGGCAGCCATGTTTTGTCTGCAAAATACACAGTCACTACACTTTACAATAAATCATGTAATGTCCCTTGAGGTTTTTGGCAACATGCTAAGCCACTGTATCAAATGCAACGATTCGATACAATAATGAATTTGAATAATTAATTTTAATAATTTTTAAAAATGGTACATTTAATAATTGAATAGAGGAAGGTTTCCACCCAAACTTTTGTTGTGACATTTTCAAGTCTTGTTAATCTGATGTGCTTCAATTATTCATGAAAAAAGTCAAGTCAGCACTTTGAACTTAAGTTTCCTCTGCTAAACATACAGAATTTATAGTAATGTTGGAAAGTTTTGCAAAAATCTTTCCAGTATTCCAGAGGAGGCAACTTTCTGCACATCTGCTTTAAGTTTAAAAACTATTCAAGTCACTGCTGTACAACATGATTAATAAATGAAACATTTTCAGGGGTAATAATCCCTTCAAAAATAATAATTTGGTCACTCAATCCACGACTGTCTGTGGGACGCTGTTGTGTGCAATAGGCTTTACAGTATATTCTGCGAAGCGCTTTGAGACGTCTCGGCGACGTGATCAGACGCTGTATCAAATGCGAGGATTATTATTATTATCTCAGGTAATAAAAGCAACAGCGATCCATCTTTTGGGTTTTTTTTTAAAAAAAAAGCTCCTTTAACATTTAAGGATTCAATAATTCCTCGTTTCCTACATTCCACTTGAGGGGTTTGGGCAGACGCCCATTGCCACGTTATCATGTTCATATGACACTTCTGTATGAAAGACACCACCAGACTCTCTCTCGCTCTCTCTCTCTCTGTATAGTTAATACAGCAACAAACCATAGTATTATTCACAGGACAGACGGGGCTTTATAACGGGAGTGTAAACCATGTGCACACTCGCTTGTTGCACATCAAGGTTCGCAGTGTCAGTCCTCTGGCTCACCTTTACCTGCCCCTGTGGCTCAACTTGTAAAACAAAACAACTGCTGAGTGCACTTTTTTCTTTACACACCACACAACACACACAGTGTTACAGTGAGATGGGGGGGGGGGGGTGCGGGAGATTACAACCACCCCCAAATAACACAGGGGAGCTGTGGCAGGTCTTCAGAGAGAGAGAGAGAGGGGCTGAAACTTAAGATACCTTAGGAGCACTTTTAGCTCTGAATTAATTGACAGACACAGCTGTGGGGGGGGGGGGGAGTGATACAGCTCAGGTCAAGATATTCGCCACATCAGCATCATGGTGGGGGAGAGGAGGGGGAGGGGGAGAGTGTTAGAGGGGGGAGGGAGGGAGGGGGAGAGTGTTAGAGGGGGGGGAGGGGTGGGGAGTGTTAGAGGGGGGGGAGGGGGGGAGTGTTAGAGGGGGGGGAGGGGGGAGTGTTAGAGGGGGGGAGGGGGGGAGTGTTAGAGGGGGGGGAGTGTTAGGGGGGGGAGGGGGGAGTGTTAGAGGGGGAGGGGGAGTGTTAGAGGGGGGAGGGGGGAGTGTTAGAGGGGAGGGAGGGGGAGAGTGTTAGAGGGGAGAGGGGGAGAGTGTTAGAGGGGGGAGGGGAGAGTGTTGGGGGGGGGGATGTTAGGGGGGGAGGGGGAGTGAAGAGGAGGGAGGGGAGTGTTAGAGGGGGGAGGGAGGGGGAGAGTGTTAGAGGGGGGAAGGGGAGAGTGAAGAGGAGGGGGGGGAGAGTGAAGAGGAGGGGAGGGGGAGAGTGTTAGAGGGGGGAGTGTTAGAGGGGGGAGTGTTAGAGGGGGGAAGGGGAGAGTGAAGAGGAGGGGAGGGGGAGAGTGAAGAGGAGGGGAGGGGGAGAGTGAAGAGGAGGGGAGGGGGAGAGTGAAGAGGAGGGGAGGGGGAGAGTGTTAGAGGAGGGGAGGGGGAGAGTGAAGAGGAGGGGAGGGGAGAGTGAAGAGGAGGGGAGGGGGAGAGTGAAGAGGAGGGGAGGGGGAGAGTGAAGAGGAGGGGAGGGGGAGAGTGTAGAGGGGGGGGGGGGGAGGGAAACACCAGCCAGTGGTCCTCACCCGAGCCTCTCTTGGCTCTCCTCTGGAGTGAGTTGATCGAAAGTCGTGGCTTCTTCTTTGCCCAGAAAGGCCTCGTGGTCGTACTGGAAGCTCTCGGTGTCCTGGTGGGTTTGGTCACTCAGCTCCGGGTCCGAGTGGATCCTCTCGGTCCTGAAAGTGGGTTTGGAGGAAACTCCCCCAACGCACAGCAACAGCAAGTAGGCGATCCTGGGGGTCACCATACTGGGGCGGGGGCGGGGGCAGGGGAGGGGGGGGGGGGGGGGCAGGGGGGGGAGGGGGGGGCAGGGGGGGAGAGGGGGGGCAGGGAGGTGGAGAGAGGAGGGGGAGAGGAGAGGAAGAGGGGGAGAGGAGAGGAGAGGAGAGGAAGAGGGGGAGAGGAGAGGAAGAGGGGAGAGGAGAGGAAGAGGGGGAGAGGAGAGGAAGAGGGGAGAGGAGAGGAGAGGAGAGGAGGAGGGGAGAGGAGAGGAAGAGGGGGAGGGGGAGAGGAGAGGAGAGGGGGAGGGGAGAGGAGAGGAAGAGGGGGAGAGGAGAGGGAGAGGAGGAGGGGGAGAGGAGAGGAAGAGGAGGAGGGGGAGAGGAGAGGAAGAGGAGGAGAGGAGGAGGAGGAGGGGGAGAGGAGGAGGAGGAGGGGGAGAGGAGGAGAGGAATAGCAAGTGACTGAGCAGTGGCTGAAATGGATAAGAGCAAAAACACACCAGACACTGAGCCTCAGCTCATCCAATCCGTTTCACTCGCTCTCCGCCGAGAGAGAAGCCTCCGGAGTGGCAGCAGCTCCTCACAGCCCCACTGCCCCCTCCCCCCTCCCTCCCCCCCTCCCCCCCTCCCGGGGCCGGAGATCCTGGGGTTGGGGTTGGGATTGGAGCTGCGAGTCCTGGAGTCGCCAACAACGTACAGAGAGAGAGAGAGAGAGAGAGCGCCTGTGCCTGGTCCCCCCCTGTGCGGGAGAGCCTGTGCGGGAGAGCCTGTGCGGGAGAGCCTGTGCCTTGTCGCCCCCCCTGTGCGGGAGAGCCTGTGCCTTGTCCCCCCCCTGTGCGGGAGAGCCTGTGCCTTGTGCCCCCCCTGTGCGGGTCCCTCTCCCTCTCCCCCTCCCCTCCCTGTGTATGAGCTCACACACCGCCCAGTGTCCGGGCAGCGGAGCCTCTGCTGCACCGGTTTCTATTGGCGAGAGGTGTGTTCATGACTCGAAGGAGGGGAGGAAAGGGGGGGGTGGGGTCGCCACGTTGCAAGGAGTTTCCCCCAAATTACCTCCATACCACACACTCCAGGGTCCCCCCTCCGTCTGATCATCAATAATAATAATAATAATAATAATAATAAACATTGCATTTGACATTCGCGCTGTTCACGTCTTCGAGACGTCTCGAAGCCCCAACTCCAATGTTTCCTGCTTTATTTTTTTAGGGCTCTCTTAATACCTACTACGTTATTGGCTGAAGAGAGTCCTAGAATCACAATAATAGCAACAATAATCATCGTCATCGTCATAATAATCATAATAATACTTGCACCACATCATCTCGACTCGAAACGCCTCGAAAGCGCTTCGCTGGATAGACCGGATATTGTTAAGTGTGTCCTCACCAACGGACAGACAGACAGACAGACAGACCGACAGACATAAAACAATGAATACATAAACTAATGTTTAAAAAAGTAAGGTAAAATAAAACCTTTGTGGGACACTGCTGTGCGCAATTGGCCTTGCCGGGTTTCGCCCATAAAATACACGGTCCACCTTTGCATTATATTCTGTGAAGCGCTTTGAGACGTCTCAATGATGGGATAAGGCTCTATATCAAATGCGAGGATTATTACTGTTGTCCATCAAAGCCCCGGATAAAATTGACGATTCATTTCATCCATGGCGTGTGGAGTAAGGAAACGTGCCTAACGTTTCGCCCGGCCCGGCAATCGAACCCAGAGTGAGACGAGTGGTTCAACCACGACACTGCAGGACTCCACAACCAGGGCCGAGTGTGCCAAATATGAATTTGTTAGTCATGGTAATTAAGCAGTAGCAGTCAACAATAATAACTTGCAACAACTTATATATAGTTTTAACGCAGGGCAGCGTCTCGGAGCGCTTTTGTTGATGCAATAATAAACATATCAATGATGTAACATTTAATCAAGAAGCTTAAACCGAGTTCCGAGAGTATGCCATTCAACAAAACACACTTAGTTATACCGACTCGACATCGCACTTGACCTAGATTTGTTTAATGTGTCGCTAGATGCAAGGCAGCTTAGAGAAAATCTACACACTGTCAGTCTCGCGGCAGTGTAAAAATCCAGCGATATTGCAAGGGCAAGTAGAAGGTCTTTGTGGCGAACGAAAAGCAAAAATATTTTTAGTGAAGAAGTTAAGGTATTATTATTTCACTTATTTGTTTCTTTCACTGCAAGGAGGGGAGGGATCAGTCTGTCAGAGATGCACGGAAAAATCGGATGATACGGGTGGGATTAACACAGAAAGTAGATTGTGCAATCTTTAGAGAAATCCATTTGTCTGGGTCAGCAACATTACATGCAAAAACACTTTTATTCAGGCAAATACTGCCCTACATCCTATTTTTAGGATTTTAGAGCGAGTGCTTTAATGAGCTTGGAGACTCCTTATCAGAAAACACCATCTGCCTTGATGTTAGTAACAGATCTTGACATATGGGTGACAAAACTCATTTAAAAAACGTTTGCTACAAACTTATGCTTACGTCAAACTTTCTGAATTATTCTTTACCTAAAGCAAAATTGATTCATTTGGTTTAAGTAGGGCAATGCCAAATAGGGCCAGAATCAGCTCCAGATCAGCTCTAAAATATCAAGCAAGATGCTACAATGTAATAATAAACCTTGCGTTTGATATAGCGCCTTATCACGTCTTTGAGACGTCACAAAGCGCTTCACAGAATATACTGTAAAGTGGAGCGACTGTATATTTCTGGGCGAAATGCGACAGCCAATGGTAGTCGACTTGTTATAATGAATCAAGGAAATGATGGTCTCAGTCAAATTTGCAATAGATTATAGTCCATAAAACAAACGTATCTATCCATTGTCCAGGAGCGATTGGCAGTGAATTGACAGTCTTGTCTATTTGGTTTAAGATGGACCACAAAGATATGGGAAATGGACATGGTCCATTGGTACAATAGGAAATATTGTTCGGATGTTGAGATTAAGACTTATTTGGCAGAACAGGAGGATTTTTTTGCTAAGTGTGGATTGGGAATGCTTCGGTTTCACTGTTTCTTTCACTTCTAATAATAATAATGCTTATATTTGATTTGATAAAGCGCTTTATCACATCGTCAAAACATCTCAAAAAGCTTTGCAGGATTTACTGTAGATTATTATTATTATTATAGAATGCAGTGCCGGTGTATTTTGTGGGCTAATAATGGCAGCCAATTTATAGTGAAACTTGGAAAGGCAACAGTAGCACAAGGTTATCAAGCAGGACCTACTCAAGGGAACTGGCCAAGGAAGGAAAGCAAAGTGAACTGGGTGACGAGAGCTGGAGGGATTAAAGGAAATGAAAAGGCAGAGCTGGAAAGTGGTCATGTGATTTCTGGCCCTAGTGGTAGTCAGTGCAAAGGGAGTCAAGTCAAGCATGACGCTACAGATATGCTCCTTTTTTCAGAGGGCAGAGACCTGCCCCTGGAGGGAGAGAGAGGCAGAACGAAGCTTAAGATGCACAACCAGATGAAATGCCTTCAGGCTACAGAATGGAGTCCACAGTCTATTGCGGAATTTCTAAAAGGATGATATTTTCAGAAATATCTGGTTTGCAAGCCTACAAGATTCTGAGTATTAACAGGGGATAGGAGTTCAGAAAAATCAGGCTACAAATGCTTGTAATCCTCACAATATAGGTGTTTACACATTGTTCTTATTAATGTTACATTGGAATCGCAATTGTCATCCAGAATTATAATAATAATCCTTGCATTTGATGTAGCGCTTTATCACATCGTTGAGATGTCTCAAAGCGCTTCACAGAGTATATTGTAAAGTGAATTGACTGTGTGTTTCGTGGGCGAATTGTGGCAGATTGAAACAATACCTGTAGTGTTACAATCTGTCAGCCGATCTCTGATGTTATGGGCAAAATTCTTCCTTACAAACAGATATTCCTGATGTCAATATGCCATTAAAATGTTACTCCTGCTTCTCCAAGAAAAAGGCAGGAATAGGCCATGTCTGCACAAGATCCCTATGAGGACATGCTTAAAGTCAGCAGCTCCCAATCAGTCAGTTGTCATAACCAGACTCATCATAGACATCACAAGGTCTTGCCAATTCCCACAGCTGCCTTTCCATTGTAGCACTTCCATTCACATCTTGCCGGATATAGGAACTGCAGGACTATCTCTGCTTCAGATTTCAGTACAGTCTTTTCCCAACTGGAACCCTGGTCCACCACCTTTCAAGGTGACTGACGCTGGGGAATTTCGCTCCGAACAGCCTTGAAGTTCTGCGAAAACAGCAAAAAAAAGAAAAGTGTTGTTTGGTTCTCAGCTGCAGCCGAGGTGATGTTGCAAAGTTGACGAACAATAATAATAATAATAATAATAATCCTTGCATTTGATATTGTAAAGTGAATTGACGAACAAAGCAGCAAATATGCTGACCTAGTCAGCAGATGTGCACGTTGTCGGCTGTTCAGTGACCACGGTTATGACAGCTGGAGTTTGAGGTGTATCAGTAACATAAAAGCTGAAATCAGTGCTGGACTTCGCTTGCATTGAGAGTGCATCATATATTGTGAGCGAGTCGCTCCAAATCCTCGGTTATGCAGCACAAATGGGATATGTTAGGCTTTCATTCTTGCGAAGACTCTTTGCTTTGAGCGTAACCAAGCAGAGTGCCCCTGCCTTCACAGCCTGCAGATTGCTTGCTCTCCGTGCTGTGATCACGACTGGTAGCCATTCCTCACTTTGCAGCTCGCACTTTTACTTTGTAAATAGGCTTTTATACAATGCGCTGGGAAATGGAGTCAGGCTGCAGCAGAGAGGGAGGCACAGAGCTGTATCCTCAAGTGGCCCAAATGGAACCAGACGGAATGCTCCAAACGCTCTTCCACTTTTCAATTTTTAAAATGCGGTTTAATTTTGCACATTGTTGATGGCACAATCGTCGTATTAACTATTCTGCCGGTGACAAGGTCCACCAAGGGAATACTCCTTATATAAGCTGTGAGAACAGTTCCTTTAATAAT